CTTTTCAATTAAATTAATTATTTAAATTTAATTTTTGTTTTGTTTTTTATTGATTAGGGAGCAGCATATTTAAAAAGTGTTGAATTATATGATAGTGAATCTAATTGTTGGAAACTACATGGTGGAATGAATTATCGTCGATTAGGTGGAGGTGTTGGTGTTATTAAAATTCAACAATATGATTCAATTTTATATGGATCAAATTCTACATCTAATATTTTATCAACATCACCAGATGATCATAAAAATCGTTCACTTTCAACATTAGTTGATCTTTGAATGAACTATTCCGATATAACTCATGGTTTACTTAATTAAATTGTTGTTCTCGGTGTACAATAGTGTTTCTTTTTTTTTTGCTTCTTTTCATTGGGCTCTATCTTTATGTATAAATTTCTTTATTTAATGATAGTCAAACAAAATATCTATGTTAAATAAACTATCATGGTCAGATGGTTGACATAAAAATCTTAAATCAGACGAAAAAGATTTTTCAAACTTTAATTCTTATTCTTTTTTTTTAATTAATAAAGACTCTATATGCAAAATGCACAATATCCGATTGAGGTTAAACCTATTCATTGGTCATATTGAATTATGAGAGATCGAAGTTTTTAGCTATGATGAATTTGGTGGAGAACAATTTTCTGAATTTTTTGTTTATATTGAGCTTGGAAATCGAAATAACGTTTTTTTTTGTTTTAATGTTCGGATGCGTTCAGCCAAGTCAAACAAATCGACAGTGAGACCTTTTGAAATTTAGTAATTGATTTTGTACGATCACTTAAGGGAGTTCCCTTAGAAAATCGGATTTTTCACAAAAATATCGAAGTTGAGTTTTTATCATAGAAAGAGGCAGCGAAGTTTTCTCTTTCAGAATATACAATAGATCACAAAATGATTCATCAAGATGTAAGTTGATTTTTTTTCGTAGCCTTTTAAGTGCTAGAAAGAATCCATATAATGATTTGAATAGAGAATATTGTTACCAACAAGAATTCGAGAAAATAATAACCGTTTATGAATTTTTCTAAAATAGAGTTTCTGGAAAACGAACACCCTCGTTTTACAACATCCAGAAGCTGCGACAGAAAGCTTGTTTTACCATGCTACATCATTTTCGGAATCAGAGCAAAAAACTGTATTATAAAATATATGTCTCAACAAAAAACAAACTTTACTCCAAAACGCCTCCCGGCGCTCATAATCAATATTTTAGAAAAAAATCCCTGAGGGGAACTACCGATTTTTTCCGCCAGAATGTTTTTTGTTGAGATATATATTTTATAATACAGTTTTTTGCACTAATTTCGAAAATGATGTTAAGATTCAAGGGCAACATTTACTTCAAAATCGTCTGAAAATGGTAGTTCCCTATAATATACCTATTGATATGAATCTTGGGACTGTTTAGATCTTTCCGAAAACTATATAAATCAAAAGAGCTTCAGTCGGAGCAGTTTTTGATCGGAGATAATTTTCTGTCTACTTTGATTTTTACAGACAACATGAAACTCCAGAGGTCGCCAATAAATTAGCTGAATCGTATCTGTCGACCCTACCGAAATTCGATCGAACCAAAGATACGTTTACATCATCAGTTTTTGTGAGTTTACCATTTATTTTCAAGCATACGTTTTCAATCATTTTTTGTAGAATACAGCATTGATGTCAACACCTCGTCGCACTGCCCGTTTCAGAAAATTATGATAAAGCGAAGACTCATAATCAACCAAAATAATTAATGAATGTCTCTTTTGGTTTTTATGTTATTTCTCTTTTTTTTGATAATATTCTTTGGACAATTATGCCATATATTTAATTGTTTATTGTTATCTATAATACTTTTCAATAAGTGTGATAATTTTTTTCTCAAATAAAATTTTCTTCTTGTTAATTAATATACTTTCGATTGAGAAAAAGATTTTCATTACATCGTAAAGGTATTTGCACTTGACATATTGTCCTCTTTAGATGGGAAAATAAAATTTAGCTGAATTTATATTTAAAAAACAACCTTCAAGAGAGAAATTTTAAAGGAGCGATCTAACAGTATTGAATGGTATTTAGCTAGAGCAATTGTATGGACACCATATGATAGCGCTCTCTATTTTTTACTATCGTACCACCATATAATAAACCTACTTGCAATCTAAGAACAATAGGTGCTGCTGACATGAGAGATGCATTAAGTCATTATTTTTTACAAAATCCATTGTAGCTCTTTTTTATTCTAGATTGTAAAGTGATAAAGAAATTCAACAACAGCTTATTTTTTATTTTTTTTCTATAATGTTGTGTGCCTTGCTCAAATCCAGATTTTGATTTTAATAGCCAAATAGTGTTTACTATATAATGCATTCGATAGCAAGGTTTCGTAGATAAACTAGGATGACAAGGTTTTTGAACAAACCGAACATGGTAAGTTTCAGATCGCGGTAGACCTTATTGAAACTGTTTTTTAGCTCTGCCATTTTAAAGAGTACAAAATTCTAAACAAAATGAGAGGTACTTGCATTTTCCAAAACCTTCTCTTAAAAAGTTAAAATCGTCATAATAAGCGTAAAAACCGAAATTTATCAAAAAATCGACTGAAGCATTCCTTTTTTCAGTTTTTGATGATTTTAACTCTTTAAGGGAAGGTTCTGGGAAATGCAGCGGCCTCTCATGTTGTTTAAAATTTTGTGCTCTTTAAAATTGTGTTGTTAGAAAATAGTTCCGATAAAGCCTTCTATGGTCTGAAAACGGCCGTGTCTGATTTTTTAGAAACATTCCCATTATAGTTCATCTATGAAATCTTGCTATAGAATGCACCATATAGTAAACTCCATCGGCTATTAAAATCACAATATAGATTTGAGCTAGGTGATAACACTATTGAACAATAAAAAATAAAAAGTACGCTCTTGTCAAATATTTCCATCACTGTGTGCCTTGTTTTAAAATATTATTTCTAAAAAAAATTGTACTTAATAATATGTTTGAGAATAATATCTACATTTAACATAAATTCTGAAAATAAAAATCTATTAGTAAGCAAGCTCCAGATATGTATATATTCATTGATATTATGCCTTTAAACATTAGATACATCAAGATATTAGTGTAATATTATCAGGTTTAACATTTTTGTTGTTGAAATGTCCAGCAGTACAGTAAATAAAACACCCATACATTTTTAATAAGAGAAGAGAATTCATTATTCTATTTATCCCTACAGCAACTCCTCTATTTTTACGCTAAACAGAATGACATCTCGTTTCGTAGTAATGTGTTGTTTTTATACGTTATATATACATGGTTGAGGCATATCCTCGATTTTGATTGGTGCATTAACTTATAAGTGAAGACGCACATTGATTTAATACATACCAAGATAATAGGCCTTGTCTACACTATACGATTTAATGCTGAATTAAGGAATCTGATTGGTGTTGCCACGTAGAAACACCAATCAGATTCCTTAATTCAGCATTAACATTAAATCGTATAGTGTAGACAAGGGCCCCATTCACACCGAAAAAGATAAAGCGTATTAAGTGTGAATTAACCACTAATTCATCTTAAAAAGATGACTTAAATGATAATACACCAATCGCATTGCTTGATTTATTTTATTTTTTTCAGTGTGAATGGGGCCAAGGCCATAGCCTTATTCATTTATCTTTCACATACTATGCTATTGGCTGAACCTTCCTTAAGATGAGTTTTTAATGAAAAAAAAAGATTCACCCAATATATATATATTTTTTTTGACATCAAACTTAAAATTGCGGTTCAATAAGATTAAATTTTTTTCCACAAAATTTGGGTATTACTTAGTGCATAGATGTGCTAAATTATATAACTTTTAGAAATGAACGCTTAGTCATCGTGCATCAGCCGACGGATCATATTTTTTCGGATGAGCGTCTGTACTACATAATAAGACAAAAACAATTTTTTTTTTGTATGAGAAGGACTCTGCGAACAGTCGTTTAAAGTGTATGTTCCTCCTTATATAATAAATAAGATAACAAGGAACAACTGAGAGAGAAAAAATCTGATATTTTTCCAATGAAGACTAAAGCATTTTGTCGAAAAAATTCACTAAGATAATCATTATTCAAGAACAAAGACCGATCAGTACGAATCATTTCAAGCTTTATGTCATTAATATTTATCAGTGGGAGCCTCTCATGTTTAGTCTCTGTCAGAAAAAAAAAAAAGATTTTTCATTCTAGTTTTCTGTTCAGTAACACCCTTGTTAGAGAAAAAGCTTGTCATTGCAGCCACTTTAGGACTAAAATTTGGAGCTCATATATTTTATTTACCCTCATTTTACTAATACAAAATACGTTCAGTGAAAAATCTTTCGCGCACTATATGTTTTTCAAGGACACTCAATTTTCGTATGTATGTAATGTTCTAGCAGAGTCTAAGTCTTGTTAATGCTATTCAGCGCTCTCTTCTTAACCAATGGTTGCTGTCCTCTCCCTCGCATTACCATGAAAGTAAGCCTCAATACCTACAAACTTTCGATAACGACTCTTTGTTATGCTATAAGTTAGTTTTATCAAAACTAATCATTATCATTTAGCGGAATTCAGTACTGATAGATTTACTGCTTTCGCTTCCTTTTGTTTTTACGCAGAGTCCTGCAGCGTAAGACTTTTGCCCACCCTATATTCTGTCCTGCAGCGCTTTTCGTATCCTTATCCTACCCTATGCTATACGGTAGGGTTACTCTGCAGGTCTCTTTTTTTATGTCATATCGATGAATTCGAACTTATTTAATTATATTCTTGTTGCATTAATTTAGATATTGGTCTTGCATGTATGATAGAATCATTACTTGATTTATTATCACCAACATTAACTGCTGAATTAAATCGACAACAATGATCTGTAATGCTATCTCTTTTTCGCTTGGGTTTATGAACATGTAAAATAAAAAAAGAATATATGAAATTTTTTTGAAATATTGTTTATTTTCTTCAGAATGGTTTTAGTCAAGTTAAATGTTTGCATGTTTCAACTGTGGTGTTGATTATTTACTTTTTGATCATGCAAAAACAAGTATTAATGATATTCTTCGTTAATTAACTGAAACACATATATCAAGTTATTTTTTTTTGGGACCTTTATATCAACAAGTAAACTTAATTTTTCTTTATAAAAATTTATTTAAATAAAAACCAGATATTCGAATTTTTAAGGCGCAAATCCAATACGTAAACCAATTCGTTTATCACAACAACGTATCGTAACACCACCACGATCATGTACAATTCAATTACAAAAAATATTTCTTTTAAATATCCAAAAATCATATCAAACAGTAGCTGCTGTTACAAATAATACATTAAAAATTGTTGTTAAGGATCGTATGAAACAACCAATTGCTGATGATAAAACACGTTGTGCTGTATTTATTTCAACT